ACCCTTGAAACATCTTTCTTGTGAAAAGTGCCGGGTGGCTAACTACAGGGCACGGCAGGTAACAAAGCACATAGCAAAGTGCATCAGACAACAGCAAATACAAAATTTTTAAACTGAAGAAACCTGCGCTGTCAAATAATTCTCTTTCATTTCACTCACCGAGAATATTTTCATGCCTCATCAGGACAGTCTGGTAGATTTCTGTTTCTCTGAACCAGCTGGCCTCCTCCATTGTAAAAAACACCTTCACAGCTACCTTCTCGCCACGCCACTTTCCCATCCAGACTTCTCCATAGCGACCTTTACCAATCTGCTTTACCATCTGAATCTGTTTCGCGATGGTCCTTTGAACCTGTGAAAAGCCAAGATGGTTACAGCCCGCTCCACAAAAACCTTCTGCATTCACCTCCCTCCTCCTGTGTCTTGTCCCATGCAGCAAGCCCAGAAGAAAGGGGAATTTGTGGACATCATGACATGGATTTCATCCACAACCGAGATGCTTTCGCAAGATTTTGAAAGAAAATTAAATAGAGTCCAATGCAGGGAGTTTTTCATCTGGCCCAAGCAGTTGGCAAGATTTGGACAAGTACAAATTTGAGGTCTCTTAGTTTTGCCGCCATTCATATTCAAATTTCAAGCAGCTTATTGCAGCATGGTTATTGCAGTGTCTGAGTGACTATGAAACCATAGGCAATTTATGTAATCCCAAATATTTTTTGCAATCTTGGCTGACAAAAAATGATCAAAACCTGATTTTAAACTTTAACTTGGTTTGCTTCCTTTGTTATCCCTGGGAGGTCCAGTGGAAACCACCAGGTTAGTAATGTGGAGCAGGACTGCAGCATGAACATACGTCCAAAAAAGAATTCAAAACCTATTATGTAAGGTCTATCACAATTTATTTTGGAAATAAATCTCTGGTTTTCGTATTAGACATATTAGACAAAGAAGAAAACCATACAAATGCAAAGCTATTTCAAAAGTCTCAGCTTTCTTCTTCTGTCATTTAAACAGAATCCCATTTTTTCAGTCCTGCAATGTATTATTAGACTTCCAAGATGGTGGCTTCAGTGCCATTATTTTTGATTAGCATCAATGAAAGCCAAGAACAGAAATTAGCCTTATTTTTTTAAAACTGATTTATACTCTTTTATACTCTTATATAGTGATTGGACAATAGTTATATTACATTGGAATTTTGCTGTAACATTTTGTAATGTCATTTTAGCATTGTTGCTTTCTATTTTACCAATTTTAAAAATGCATCCTGAACAATAATGCAGTTATATCAAATAACTTAATTTGTGCAAATATATGTAATGGCATCATAAAGTACATGGAATTACAATACTTAATGATGAAAAGTTCCTTATTAAATTACATTAAGAAAATGAAAAACACATTTCTGTTATGGGTTTTCAGGCGGCAGAATACCAAGTGAAGGGCCTTAACCTGGTTTCCTCTTGCTAGAACTGGTCAAACGATTTCCTATGAACGATTTATTTTATTTTAACGAATTTTATCCTTTCTTGAATCATAAACTTATTATGATTTCTAAAACAAATTGTTTAATCAAAATTGTTGGGTGAATTTATTTCATAAACATGCTGAATGTTCATGTGAATCATTTACACTGAGAGGGGTTGGGGTCTTTTTTACTTTTCTTCAAATCTGTGTATTTTGCTGCTTGAGCTCTGTGAGGGTAGAGGACCCAGGTAGGGTCCTTTGCTTCCTCTCCCTGACTGGAATCAAACAAATTACCAACTATTTCTACTTTCTGCATTCGGTTTTTCCGATGTTCAGCTAAATGTATTCAGCTAATGCAGATGAAAATTCAAACAAATCAACCTTTTGTAACTTCAATATTTTTACAGAGAACTTCAAACCTTTGGCTGGGATGCAGTCCCTTGAAAAGTAAAATCCATTGGAAGAGGAATTAGGAAAAAAAACCAAAACAAGCGTGAAAATTTAGAGATCAAACTGTAATTCAGTAAACTCTTCATACAGACCATGGAAATAACTCTCTCCACAGTCAAATCTCCCTCCCCGATTTCGCATGTGGATTTCACAGGGTAACAGCTTCGCCTCCATTTCTTGCTCTGTCAAGGCCAATAGGGCTCCCTTTGCTTGCACAGACTTGACTGAGCATCCTGGTTTGTTGGCTCAAAGACTTTATGTACAATTTACTGTATTTTTTTTCCTGGTTTAAAATTTGATTGGCAGCAAACTTTTCTGCCAGAAGAACAAACAGATCAGGAAAAAGAATGCTTTCTGAATGTCAAAGTCTCAATAAAATCTTGGTTAATGCTTGGTTTTGGTATAATATTTGTACCCATTAAAATAAATATTCTGCACAGAAGGAAGACATTAGTGTTTAGCATAAAGTGACATTTTTGTAATAAATCTGTGGCTTACTTTCCTGAAATAACAACTTTGGATGTTTCAGTCTTTGCATAAGAAATAATACATTTAAAACCAAACTCTTTGACAATAAAGTCTAGAGCATTATTGCTAGGCACTTTCTATAGACTTGGTTCAGGCACGGGCCCAGAGGTATTAATCTGTGCATTTCCAGGGAGTCTGCAGCAGTTGTAGCTGTCTGAGAAATGCAGCAAACATTTATTACCAAGTGCAAGGTTCATTATAACTCTCATTTTTCTTATCTTCCACAGAAAATCACTACTTAAAGGGAAAGTCTGGGGGGAAAAAGTATGCATTTTCGTAAGCAAAGAGAGAGGGGGGAAAAGTGTCTTCAGGAAGAGCACTTGGTCAAGGGGCTGCAAAGTCTCCAGGCTTGAGAGAGCAAAGAAGAAGACTGGCAGAAGATAGGATGGTTTCTGTTTCATTTATAAAAAAAAAAATTCAGCACTTAATTTAAATGGGATTCTAAGCACTTTCTCCTGCCATAACAAATTGAGTTTAGTCGGATTTTCGCCAACCACTCAGTGTGTTGCTTCATTTTTAAGGAATTACAAAACTTCCGATTTTATTTCTTCTTTAGGGTATAGAAACAAGATGTGTGGGCAAAAACCAGATAGAAAGTATGTGGCACTTGGAAACAGGACAACATCCGCAGTAACAGGATCAATACGAACTAATAGGTTTGGGAGACAGGAGGGACACTGTCTCTGAAAAATGAAAATTAAATCTAATTCATTTTCTTAGAGGCAGTGTTTTAAATAAGTAACCTGGCTTTTATTTTTCAGTGCTAAAAAGTGACAATGACCCCCAGAAAAAAAACCCTGGTGAACAGAGCTGTTTTGCCACAGAATGTGAAACTTCTGCCTTTCCAGCAGGTGAGCTCTGGGGGCTCAGTCATCCCAGAGTCAGTTCACAAATAATCCCAAACTGCATTCCCCTGCCTTTAAACTTGGAGATTACTACACTACAAGGAAAAATAATTTGGTCTTGACTTCTAGATGCAAAGTGAAGTTTACACATAAAAAGGCTGCAGGTTTGAGGAACTACAGTTCCCTTTACATAAAGACGAAGTGTCGGTGTTTGAAATGATTTTGTGTGTTGCACATAAAAAGCAAGACAGTAAGATCAGCGGGCCAGATGCTGTCCTGCACACTGAGGTAAATCCTGATGAATTTCTGTGAGCTCTGTTAGCCAGTACTTACCCAAGGATATCTGAAATAAGAAATGACCTGAGTAAATGAGTAAAAAAACCCCTAAGCTTTTTTGGCTTAGTCTACATGAAAAAAAGTCTCCTGAGTCTAACACAGCTGTTCGCCGGCTTAAATCCTTGTCGTTTCTCAGAGAGGAAAAAATACCTAAAACAACTGAGGACACATAAATATAACTTTTGTGCCTCATTTTGTCTTCTCCCTCTATTCATTTTTACCGTTTAAACGTGCATTAAAATAACATTGTTTCATTACCAGGAGAGGGAGCCCGGAGCCGCTCCCTGAGCTCTGGGACTGCTCGATCAGATCCTTCAGGGACTCTCCAGGGGGGATGTAGGTCTCATCCTGCTCCAGCCCAATGCTGTAGCGGGGCCGCGTCTCCTGGCGTTTGTACCTGCCAGTTTACATGGAAGTGAAATTAGCTTTGAATACAACGGACACATGTGCAATGAATAATGCACATCGTCCTTCACGTTTCCTTCATTTACAGACTCACAGCTTCTTCTGCTTCCCAGAGGAAACTCACTGCCCAAATTTTTTATTTTTAGTGACTGTTTTCAGCATCAAAACTGGAAGTATAAAACTCAAAGACCACGCAATCTGGTGTAAGTTTGCAAAGCAATCAAATGTTTTTCTTTCAGAAAACACAGACCAAGTAAACAGTTTTATTTTACTGACTTTAGTGGATCTTTTAGGAGCCAGAGAAGGTAAGGTCATGGGATCTGGGACTATTTAAAAAATGTGACAAATTATTTAGACATAACGTACGTAGATTATGATAACATTCTAGACATATTTACTTACATTCCTGTATTCCTCTTTTTTTTATGATCAATTCTTCACAATATAAACACATTTAGAAGCCTTAGGTTTATTTACTCAATATAAAATTTGTCCTGTGGCTTTCTTAGATTCGGTAAAGAATAATTTGTGCTGCTGCCTGAATGGCTTTTTAGGATGTTGGGCAAAAGAGGGTATATGAAATACATCACACCGATACCTGTGACTAGCATGAATAAAATACATGCTCTTCCTCATTGTAAAATTACAGTTTCGCGTTTCTTTTCCTTAAGGTCCACTTCTTTTTTAAAAAAAAATTCCTAGGTCTATAAAAAGATAAATGTTGGGAGAAACATTAACAAGCTGGTAAAGTATTCCTTATTTACCTGAAGTAGCAGAATATGATGATGAGCACCAGAAGTATACTGAAAACAGTCGCTGAGATCAGCAGGGCCTTATGGTGAATGTTTCCTTCAGCAAAGTCTGGGGTTAAAAACAAGGAAGGTGGAAAATTTGGAAAGGGAGGTGGTACAAAGTCAATATCAAAGACACAAGCCTTAAAAAGTGCAGCAAGCATAAGGTTGTTTCCTCTCTTTTCTACTGCAGTCCTGTACAAGATACCCCTGGATTCCCCAGGCATTTTGTACATTTCCTCTTTGACCCTGGCTGACCAGGACAGAACCAGCACCTCCAAAAGCCTATTTGATTTTTCAGACGTCACTCAGGCAAAAAATTTGCTTAATTCGCAGTTCCCCATTTGGCTCTGAATGAAAAATCAATTAATACCCGTAACTCTATGTCTTAACCTAAGGGATTGGCCAGGACATACAAAAAACCATTGCCTCTATCTTAAATCACTCCTATTAAGTAGCATCCTATCAGGCAGTTAATATATAGAAAAAATAATAATTGCATTTATCCTAGGAGGAAAGGCACATTGGGACCATCCAACCCATAAAAAAAGGCAGGCCACGAGAGGCCTTGAAAGTCTATTTCCACCACTGCAGAGTAATCTGTCTCTTGGATCCTGTTTTAAACACCTGAGCAGGATTTTTCCTCTCCATTCACTCTACAGCAGCCCTGAGTGCCAGCAAGTCCTTCCTATGCTGGTGGGCAAAACTATCCTTCCAGCAGCTATTCTGTAAAACACTTTGAAAATTAAAGGTGTCAAATAACTTGCAGAAAATGCTGTTACGGAAGAACTATTAAATTGTTTCAGTCAATCTGCATAGGAGACTCATATTCTCCTTTACAGTGTACCATTAATCTCCTAACTTGTATTCTCAGCTCAGGCAAGCAAGTCTGACCTTCGTGCATGTTTCTCTGCTGAAAAACAAAGAAAAGAAACCAAGCGCTATTCTTTAACATCCCCCACACCCCAAACTCTCAAAATTACGGTATTTCAGCACTGCCTTTCCAAAGTTGCTATCTGATATAACGCAAATGAGGACTATGTTTCCTGAAGCTCTCCCGGCCTCGCAGTCTTGGATCTTTCAGACTAATGCCGAACACATCGTAAAATGCAAGAAATCTATCTGTATCGACTCATCCTGGAACGGTGCTATTACGTTTCAGATTTACAAGGGTAATGAGACAAGGAGATTCCAAAGGGACTCTTGGTTTACTGTCAGACTCTTTTATTTGAAAGATCCAGTTTCTCCTTCTGTTTTTGCCCCCAAACTATTTCTTTTCCTTCCCCTTCCCACTACAAACAGAGATTACCAACCAAGGCACTTTTTGATCACACTGATCATGTTTAAACCTGCCATTACCTGCTCCAGGAGCATTAACAATGTAAACATTCAAGACATGGCTGCTGCCTTTGAAAGGGGACACTGACACTGTGTCTATCAGGAAAACACTGGAGCCCATCATTCTCCTCACCACAGCAGATTTCCACCTGGGCTGCCACTCTGAGACGGCTGCGAGCCAAAACCGAGAGCACCCTGGGGAGCCCAGACCTCTCTGGCAAAGGTGATGGCTGCTCGGTAGGGTGAAGGGGTCCAGTTCATGCTTTGTGAGCAGCCATTCCTCTCTACAACGGAGGGGTTTGCAAGAGTTTGAGATGTTGCAGTCCACCAGCTGAGGAGAGGATAAATGGAACAGAGAGACGACACAGTTGGATTTTTACAGCTCGGAGAAAGCTGGATATCTATGGGCAGCAAGGGTTTTCCCACTTCTCAGAGTAAAGCCACGACTGAAAGTGGGCTTTGTGCTTAGCCGTAATGAATGTCGATATCAGGCACAGAGGGAGCAATTCAGGTCTTGCTTATACTTCCGTATGTCAAAGAGCAAAGCCATGGAAGTCTGCACTCTTACACGGACACAAAGTGTTGCACCACCATAACTTGTAAAGCACCCCCACTGTTCATGCCGCCTGTGTGTGTCCAAGTACATACATTTGGGAGAGGAATGATAAAGATGTTGAAATCTTAACCAAATGCATATAATTTCAAATGATAGAAACCCTGTGCTCAAAATAGGCTTCTCCCCTTCACAAGAAAAAAGAAACGCAATTTGATTTTCCCAGAGGGCATTTTGGAAGTGCTGTGTAGCTCTCAAACAGACCTTAGACTCCAACACTGCAAAATTCTTCGGTACCCAAATGCAATTATGTGAAGCAAGTGCAAGGAAAGCATGGAGGATATAAAGGACTGTATCCTCAACTCTGAGCTGGCAGCAATCAACACAGGCTGCAACAGCAGCAATGCTTACACTCCTGTAGTAGGTGATGTCCCCCAGAGCCAGCTATCACAGCTTTAGTAGTGGTTCACAACACACACCATGGGCATGCAACTGGCTCTCACAGGAGAGGAGAATCATTTCCATATGTCTTTATATTTATTTGGCTACATATGATGAGAGGCAATATTGACGATAAGTGAGCTGTAGTCTCACCTTTCAAATACTTCCTGCATTTTCAAAGCATTTTTGGCAGAACTTCATCTGCTTGCTCACTTGAGGACTTCATAAACCCACTGGCATGTGGACAACACGAGATTAAAAGCACGCCCCCATTCTTATACCAGCAAGGTCTGTCTGTTCTGTTGACCTGAGCCAGGCTGGTGCTGCTGGAGACCCAGCTCTTCTCTCCTCCGACAGCTCATGCTGTTCCCCACAGAGCAGCAGGACAAACCTCCCTTTCCCTGCACCATCTTTTGCACCTCCTTGGCCAGGTGGAGGGATGGGGCAACTCAACTCAGAGTCCACTTAATCGTTAATTAAGCTCGTGGGAATTGTGGCGAAGACTGTGGTGGGTACCAGTTGGCGCCATTTTCGGTGATGGAGATACTCTGTTCTTTAGGAAGCCCAACGTTGTGCTTTTTAGTGTTATGTTACTTGGCAACTGCAACGTGCCAAGCAGCAGGGTTGTGAGAAAAAGCAGGAGCATCCACGGAGGCAGCAGTGAGCGATGACCAGGAGCACAGAGTGGGGAGCACAGAACAAACACACAGTAGGCTTGGGAAGCTTCTTACGTACTTTGGCTGGCTGATAATAGCGAAGCTCAGCTTATATTGTAAATGTATACAAAATGTTAAGTTTTAATGTTGTACAAAAATAGCGGTGGGCGCAGGTGTCAGGGGTGAGCAGCACAGAAAGGGAGAGAAGGCAACAAAAGGGGGGTCCCTGGTGATACCAAGCTGCCTCTCAGTCATGTTCCTGTGATTTTTCCTCCTCCACTTGTTCCCCCTCACTTTGCCATCCACAGGACCATGCTGAGGAGTGCACTGAAATGGCCACCCAGCAGGTTCAAGGGAGAAGTCAGCATATCAAAGGGAGAGGAGGTTCCCCTCCCTCCCCAGGTCCCTCCAGTTCACAATGTTACGGTTATCCGAGTAAAAGCTGCAGTGAAATCTGAGGCGTGGAGACTGTGTGCACACATCAAACCCCATCATTCCTCCAATCGTTCCCTTGCCCATTCATCACTAGCTCTACAGGCAGGGAGCCAGACATGGTGGCACCACCACTTCTGCTTATATAGGCTCTAAATCAGTAAAGACATATTTCTCCTTTCGACTGGTCTCAGCCTGCGCTTTCGCTGGCATTTCCAGGAATATCTTTTATTGTTTAAAGCAGAGGTGTTGTATCAGACCCAATTATGACTCTCATTTCCTTAATAAGACAGATGTACAGCTGGGACGAGGGTTTCATGGTTTCTCTGGGATACTTTATCCTGCTATTTCTGAACCAAGATGAGCTCAAAACTTAGGCTTAGCTGTTGTTTCTTCCATCTTTCTCAACAAGCCTTGCTTTGACCAGTGTAATTCTTCTAGCTCCCACTTTCGTGTACATGGTCCTCATTTCTTTTCATGAGGAGGGGGATATAAAACTGACTTTCCAGCACATGCCCGGTCTGCAAAAGCACTCTGAGAACACAAGTTGCTTGCCTTCGTAGATGTTACCTTGGTGCATAGGTTAATTTGCAGTTCAACAACCTCTGACCTGCAGCTGGACACTCTCCCTAGACTCTGTTTCCCATGAGATATGACCTCAGACATCAGTTCATCAGAAGCCAAATTTCTGTTTGCTTTTCAGATGCTGAGGAACATACATATTTTTCATGGAATCCTGGAGGTCAGGAGGTTGCTCCTAGAAGCTTGTTTTTAAGTCTATCTTCTCCTCCTTTCTACTCATAGTTTATTTTAAATTTGATATACAATTCTGACAGTACTCAGTCAATCACAGCCCAATCTAAATGTTCCCAGTAGAAACAATGATCACAGCCACAGCACTGGGCACTGGCAGGAGCATGCATTTTTATGTAGTATTTGTACCTGGTTGTAGTGAAGAACTACAGTTCAAACTATGGCTTTTCTCTTAGCTTTCATACTATGATACAGCAATGACAAATTAAAACAGGCCTGGCACCAAGAATGACAAATTTACTTAAGGTTTTAATAAAGGTGCTGAGTTCAGCCCTGTCCAGCCACATTTAATGAAGCAACTCCTGAGATGTATTTCCACAATATACGATCAGGACACCGGTAGTGCGAGAGCTTATTTCAAACAAAAGTCTTCAGGACATGTTGAGTGAATACATTGCCTTTTGTTTGCCATGCTAAACCAGACAACTTTGCAACACAGAGCAGCTAGAATCCTGTTCCAACTCTATGAAAGTTTTCTTTCAACAAATATTTTCTCTGCTATTTAATGGCTCGGCCACCATGAGGCCCAAGTAACGTGTTATTTACCCCACATACACACAGAGCAAAACCAACATTGATCCTAACAGCTTCTGCCACTACCAGAAGATTGTTTTACTGCTTTCTGTATAAGTAGCAGATAGCATTGCCAAATAACTAAAATGTTAATAAGGCAGATGTCTAGTGTTAGGCATTGGTTCAGTATTTTTAAGTAGGTTTAACATAAAATAAACTCAGTCAGCAGCAAGAAGAAATCATGGCACTGTTTTCCAAACAGAAATTATATTTATTGATATACTAAGTGTGAATAAATATTGGCTTCCTTTTGGACCTTCTCCCTCAGTCCAAAGAACTTTTTAAAATGAAAAAAACCAACAAAGTAGTACATAACTCTTATGCTGGAAGTCAGAATTTTATGAGTTCTCACTGACTCAATGGCTTGCTAGTAAACAGTGAAATATTTACATATTACTCTCCATAGGCCTGATTCTGCAGCCCATCTGTGCAGAATTTCATAGGCACGAAGGGAACAGTTTACATGCACGAAGGCTTTCTCTGAGCATGCAGTTGTGTAAGTATCTGCTGTTTGCATAATTAAAAGTACATCTGCAGACTGATCTGGATTTTCAAGTAAGATCGCCACGATTACAAATTCTCCTGCAACCCTGAACTGGCTGGCAGACTAAACTCCATGCTGACCACCACAAATCTTGGCCATTGCTGCCAATCCCAAGAGTTTATCATGTATTAATTTACACTTAACTAGGAATACATTTTTATAAAACGTATTCTGTAACATCCAGCCAAAATAGTTTCACCAGCTTTCAGATGTTGATGTTTAAACAAACAAACAAAAAAGCTAAAACCTTCTCCCAGAATCCACCAAGTTAATACACGTCCATTTGTTCTCAGAAAACAATTGAAAAAAAAAATCAGTGCATGAGTTCTTACTCTACATCCTATTTTCAGCTACATTTTTCAAGCAGAAAATCCGCTTTAGTGATTAGTTATTGTCCTAGTGCTGGATTATCAGATCCTTTAAATAAGAGAAGCTTAATGGACTTCAGTCAACTTGGACTGACTGATTAACCACTGGGGATCTGGTCCCAGCTGTGTGTGGAGTTATGAACAACAGCAATGCATATTGCAAGGACTACAAATAGGATTCAGTTTTTATTATCAGGCTGTAAACATACATGGCACAACTAACCCAAGTCTTCGAGAAGACTTCTGATAACCAGCAGGTCTGTATTAGGACAATATCACACAACTCTAATGCACCTGGTCTTCACTGCATGTATGCAACATGAATAATAGCAACCATCAGCAACCACGGGTCAAGGCACCACTCTTCATGTGACCTAAAGGAATTCGGCAATACTGTTTAATGCAGTTTATCTCTCCAATTATGTGCAGGTGGAATGGGGTGCTTTGATTGTGGCTTTGTTTCTTCCTGAGCCACAAAGAGTAACAGCAGGAAAAGATCAGTTTGGGACTGGATTTACTTCTCCTTACCTCGATTTTTCAGTGGGGGCAGTGTAGGGTGAAGGTGTTTGTTACAGTAATCCTGGCCTGTGCAACATTCAATAGATCTTCTTTGGTGTGGGATAGGAGTGTCCTGCACGAAACAATTCGACAAAAAGCAAAGTCATTATCTGTGTTGTAAACACACAATGTCATTCTGGCACCTGAGAGAAAGATGTGCTTATCAGCTGGACTGCAGTCAGTTACAGATCTCTAGGATGCATCGAGCGAGGATATCTGTCACTGAGCACATCCAGCAACATTTCAGCTAGATCATCAGATTAATTCACCCCTAATGTATTTCTGTTGGTGCCCTAGTGCTGCAGAAGGGACTGATTGACTCTAGTGGTGCAAGACAGAACTGTGAAAGTCACATATGTCCATCAGTTAGACTTACATTACAAAAATAAGTTGATGTGGGTATTCAAAACAGTTTAGCTAGAATACTGCAGGAATTACTGTGTGGACTGATTTAGCTGCTGCTTCTGCTCTCATGGGAAGCTGGGTAAAACACCTTCCATGGACCTTGATGGTTAGACTGTTCCTGTACTCATAGCAAATCATTTAAAGTTAATGTTAGGAAAGGCAAACACTTCAGAGCCACCTTGTCTCATGGCCCATATCCCTTCCATTCCTGCAGCAAGACTTGCTCTCCATCAGGTGAGCATTGGATGTGAAGGGAATATCTGGCATCAGAAATCCAAAATCAAAGTGTAAACCCATGTAAGATATAAATGTTGCTCCAGGCCATCAAATAACATCCTAAATAACTTTAGCTATCAGGAAGACTTAAAAGAATTAGACTACATTTCTCTAAATTCAAACTTCCTCCGAACAGTCACATTACTAGTAACAGCTGAGCCAAACCCAAATACTTAAGTTATTGTAAGAAGCTGCTATAATATCATCATCTGGGGATATAAATGCACTCCTCTCAGCAATCAGTGCGGAGCAACTATCTGCCAAATGGACAGAAGTGAAAAACAAGGACATAGTAATATCTGTTGACTGCACCTTAGCTGCAATCTCTCGAAAAGCCAAGTGACACTCAGGCAGCAAAAGCCTTCTTACCCGACACTGGAAGTCTGAGCCCTCTAATCCGAGACATCCCTTGGTGACTAAATGTCCCCCGGACTCATCTTCTTCTATTATGGTGAAGCAGTAGCCATCAGTGCTGAGGATTGAAAAGGATGCATCAGGAAAAGGCTTTGAAGTGGGTATAGTCTTAAAAGTCTGTTCCTTGCAAGGCAAATTTCTCTTTAACAAATCAATGTACTGAGGCAGGCGGGAAGACTCAGGGTACCCAAAGCAACTTCTGGCAATGCAGTCCAACAGCTGAGAGTGCTAAGGACCAGCTCTTGTTCACATAAAGGACACTCTGCCTTGGACTTGGCACACACCTTTCCAACATTTCACAGCTATAAAACCCACTAACAAATGTCTCAATTCTCTGCCTATAGTCATCAGTGTGTCAAGACTTTGGAGAAGAATAAAAATGCAAGTATCAGTGCTACAGCAGGTCTACCTTGCATGGGAATATCACATGGATATTTGCACCATGGTGGGGGCCTGAAAAAGCCAATTTTTTTGAGATACTAAACATTAAATATTATTAAAAGTGATTTGTGATTCCTGTTTTAACCATATTACAAACTGCAACACTCTTGTGTATGAGCCCTTGAGTTAGCATCAACACCCTTCATAACTGTTTACTTAGGTTATAACCCTAAAGTGATCTATTATCTTCCATTTACAAGAACATGCACCAGGGAGGACAAGTATCCTAACATATGGCTAGATGGTGCTGGTGATAAATGTCCTTCCTCCATGAGGGTCAAATGCCTGAATCCTTATGGAAAGAAGGGGAGGAAGGTGCAAAAAGGGTGGCTCCATTTTACTGAGACTGCTGTACATTAATTTCTCAGCACTCTGAGGGAGACATGTAACATGTCTAAGAAATATAAATTGAGCGATTTGCAGGAAGAGGATCCAAAACCAAAGAAAGAACTCTTTAATATAAGACATTTAAGTCACATTTAAAAAATTCTGTTATTTCCTCAGGAAAACAACACTGGTTATTATGTGCAATGAGTATTTTTCAGAAGAGAAGAAACAAACTCGGTTACAACAAGGAAATAAAAAGAAAAAAGGATTAGAAAATTTAAACAAAGCAAAATTTCAGGTGATTTGCTCCTTACTTGAATAAAGGGGAGTCTAACAGAGCAACAACAGCAAAGGCAATGAAGATGTAGGAAACAAGAGGCACAGCTACACATATAGGAGATAAACACAATTTGTAAGTATTAGCTACACGACAGAGATGCTGGATAGGATCATGTCAAACATTTGCTGCGGCATATTCTTATATCAGTGGTGCAGGGTCTAGCCACAGTAAGCTTATTACTTCAAATAATAATCTATCATGGGTTATTGACTTCTGGATTTGAAAAGTAACCAGTTGCACATTACAAATGACTTTCTCATAGAAGCGAGCAATGACTTCCACCCTTCTTTGACATTGCGCATACGAGCAAGGCAAAGGAGACAGCAACCCTTCTGGGCAACAACCACCTTGATTTCATTGCTGAAGCTTAAGAGATAGGAACAATAGGATTGCCAAGAAGAGAGACTGTAAGGAATCCATTAGAGCAGAATATTATATTAGATTAGATTAGATTTTATTTGTTTGCATGGTGCCTTTGATTCAAAGTAATGAGTAAGTTTAACCCAGGGGACAGAGCAACCAAACAATAAATTGCAATCAAGTGAAACACAAAAATGAACTCCACAGCTAACGGTGCCCAGCAAAAAACAAAACGCTCAGTTTGCCCAAGAAAAGCAGGGGAAGGAAAGTTAAATTGTTTGCAGAAGGGAAAAAAGAAGCCAGAAAGTCAGCAGTTTAATTTCATTTTTTTCTGACTTGCCATGGGACTCTGATTTTTAGCTCATTTCTGAAAATTAAATTCAGGCTCCTCGAGCACTTTAGACCCTCTGAAAATTTTACTCCGAATTTAAATGACAAACAAAATTAGATTGCATAGAGCAAAACAGAAAAGTTATAAAGCTCCAGTAATAAGGATAAATCACGTTCCTTACAAACAACAGAGCAATGAAGGAGAAGTGTGAGACAATTAAAAATAGCAATACTGAGCAGAATAAATGCTTGTTTTCTCCTCTAAGAAAAAATAAACCAGAAAGTTTTCCTGCAATATAAGAACTCATTATTCTATTGATTTCTCTTTTCAGGTGTTACGGTGAGAGGCAGAAGCAACTCTTCTGCAAAGAAAGCAGCATTTCTTACCTGCTCCCCTCAGCCTCCAACCTCTTCTGGTTCACAGGATGTCAGATGGACCACATGCTGCAAGTAAAGGGCAGGGCATATCCCTGCTGTTTTATTGATTACCCTACCTCCTACCTGCCTATGGTAGAAATGAAACTGTTCTTACTAGTATCACAAGTCAGAAACATGTCAGGTAGTCTGCATCTTATACAATTTTACGTTTATTTTGGTGACTGCACAAATAGAAACGTATGTACATTGCCGATACATGCAAAGCAATACGAAAAAAACTATTCACTTTCTAGCAAAAATTTGTAGCATAGATCCATTATTTTCTTAAACTCTGTAATTTTAATTCTGTGTAAATTGATTCTGCAAATGGTGTCTAAAGAAAGAACTCAACCTGATGATACTGAATACATCGGGCTATACAACCACTAACCTCCTCTACTAAAGCATCATCTTACTAGACTATGGTGCAGGAGAGTGATTAAATACATTTTGGATTTGCTAATAAGCACAGATTTGGTATGTCACATATTTGCCAAGAGTGAATTTTTACAGCCAAGTCAAATGCCAGGAAGAGAGAGAGTTAATAGCGGAAACACTGACAGACACGGATGTAGAAGGTGCTGCTACAATTACAGATTACCAGAAAGAAAGAGGTGATCGTAGCTGAGACCTTTAGTCAATGTCAGAAGAGAGGAACAGAGGCCAAGAGCTTTGCAGCTGCTCCCGCAGATGTCCTCCCTGGCCAACAGCCATTTCTCACAAAAGTTGTGATACCTCAGCTACCAAAACTTGACCGCTGAATATTTCCTGTCCTGCTCTCTGTGAGCGATGCAGCCAGAGGTGGCAATATATATCTTGGAACAGCAACATCTTTCCCTCATTCAGTGACTGTCACAAGCAGATGGGTTAAATAACTTGATGAAAAGATTCCTTATCTTTAATTTTATTTGCAATTGAATCCATGTGAGTATTATTATTTTTGTCTCCAGGTTTTGACATCAGAAAGAGCATCTTTTCATTACCATCCAAGGTAACATGACAAGTTTCTACACTGTTTTAAAAAATGATCAAAAAACGTTAGATTATATTATGTAGAGAAACTGAAAAGTTAGTATTCTTCTGTAAAGAGTCGCTGAAAGAATCTAATTTGAAAATTGGCTGACTCCCAATTTGCCTCTAATTCACATATTTTGTCACATCCTTCACTTAAGGAAGATGCTGAAGGCTACATTTAACAAAATCCCGTCTTTGGACACCATCCATAAAACAAAGAGCCACTGTAAATGTGTTTAACGCAGGCCAGTTTTCCCAAAAAATAATAGAGTTAGTGGCTGTGCATCAGAGAGTAACAGGAAACCAAGCGAGAAGAACAGCACTACACAACTGCTGAGCCAGATGCACCTTTAGATGTTTGCACAGCCACTCTGAATGCAAGGGGAGACACACAGGTGTGACAAAGCAAACAACTTGGCTCACGGTGGGCCAAAGCTTCTGGTCACACAAGTCTCCGAGGTGGTGATGCTGGTCCTACCACATGCTGCTGCACTGTGTGGCACCTTTTGGCTCTCTGGGTGCTCAATGACGACCCTACAGTGCTACACGTGGAGAGAAAGGAGGGTACCCAACGCATCCTAGCAGAGCATCTTTTTCTGTATCATATATAGGTCTATCAATCAATAGTATCTCTATGCTACCTGCCCATACTGTTCTCCCAGGACCGAGACATGATCTGGCCCACCAAATGGGTCTTGCATTGTTCTACTAAACCGCAACTCAGATCAAACAGTTCTCCCTGATACATGGGGTTCACAATGCAGAAAACAATTTTCATCTGTTTTGGAAAGCCTTAGAAACTGTCCAGGCTTCATGCTGAGTATGTGAGATTTGACAAGTCTATAGACCTGATAGCACAACTTGGGGTATGGCAACAGCACCAAGCACGGGTACCTCTGCATTTTCACCAGGGGTCTCTAGCAGCTTTCACTTATGTGCTAAATCCATCTCAGTAGGTGTGAGAACTATCAAGAAGTAAAGAGTAAAAATAAAACTATTCATTTTCCTCTTTTCCTTTTTTCTTTTATTCCTTTGTCTCCAAAATTTAAACACAGACCAAATGTTTTCATTTGCTTGACCTTAAGTTTACCCTGCAGTTGAATTTGTATGACGTAGTCGTGGTTCTCAATCCTAGAACACACTTAACATGGGTATTTGCTGGTTTGGAAATTTTTTTTGGTATAAGTAAATTCAATATGCAAGGGAAATCTCAGGTATTTTAGCACTTTCTGCACAGTAACACCAAAGTACTCCTATACACTAAAAAACGATCTGAGAGTAATGTAACAGGTCTCAATACAGAGAGATTGGACTCGCTTTATGGTTTAGCATCAGGTTTATATTAAAGAACTAATGGGCAAGCCCTGAATAAAACTGAGAAAAAGTAATTTCTTGGGTATGGTTGGAAAGTGTGGGAGGGGAACTTTGCATTTCAGTTCAAGCACTTGGACTGAAGTCACCCACTGAGGGTATGAGACGTACAGCCCTGGCAGAGGGGGCAATGAAATACTGGAGCTTGTAAGAATTTGCCTCTGTTGCTCTTTGTTGTTTTTTTCTTTTGTTTTAATCATCAAAAGGGACGTAACTGCCTCGCGTACAATCCTGTATGAAGAATTACATTAAAAAATGAAAACTAAAATAACTGAAAGGCTAACTTGTAACATCTCACCATAGCTCCCTTGTTGGAAAATGTTTGACTTTAACCTAAAAATTAAAGTTACATAAAAGAAATGTTGCCTGAACTCCGTGCTTTGGCCCATTCTTGAAGTCATCTTCTTTCTACATTACAAATTATAAAGAAAATTCAATCCTATCATCTGGAGGACAGGAGAATGAAAATAACATTACTCTAGTGAATTATCACCTCTGGTAACACTGAAAAAGCAACTTAATTATTTTATTGCTTTAGATAACCAAAGCTACCTCAAGACACAGTTGGGCAGAAACACAATCAAGACCAGTAGGCAACACATAAGAAATTAAACTCTATCAGCCTGATCTTTAAAGCTGTCAGCATTTATCTGTGAATGGAAAATAGAGCACAATGAGGCACCTAATCAGCCTCTGTCTTTACTGCAACCCCATTACAGTCAAAGCCAATTAAGTCCTACACTACTTTTTAAATATGCAATTAATTATGATTAGACACAACTGCCCGTGCATGCACTTTGTGCACACAAAATGTGAAACGGAACAGTAAAACAAGGTCCTGGTTGTCTTCAAAGCAGCTCTGAGCTTTCTTACTGAAAAACTTTTACAAATCGCACAAATACTCAGAAAGAAAAATAGTTTCACCAGGCTGCAGGTTAACGCACACTTTACAAGCAAGAGATTGCAAACTCTCTGCAGATATCTTAATTGTCAGGGCCCTAAGCACACTAATGAGCTCTAATTTCCTGGAGTGGCCCCACCTGGGACTGCCACCCCACTACACACCCCCTGCCCAGGAGGTCCACTTAAGCTCAGGTCCGAGGATTAACTCTACCCTTGAGTTACAGTACAGAAGTTCCTGTCTCCAGTCCCATCTCCTACCTGGATCCAGAACCCTACCAGACCTGTGAAGGCCCACCAAGGGAGATGTCCCTGTCTGCTGTATCCAGGTACCCTTGGGGAAATGGGGTCCTGGTGGGTGAGGATGTGGCTGGCCCTAGCATAACTCTCAGCTCCTGGCCTGGCTCCCTTTCACTGTGCCCTGACACTAACCCTCTCCTGATGAGATGACCCTGTAATGGCTCTTCCAAAATTTGTTGTGCTTGTGGATTTAAATCACACTTTAACTAGAGAGACTGCTTTTCTGATATATAGAAAGTAATCAGCATTTTAAGCTGTGGTGTTATCCTTAGCTCCCTAAAGTATTACTGGACTTAAGCTGTGGAAGTATAAAGACAGGGAAATTCTGTATAGGAACAGAGCCGGCTGCTACAGGATTTGATACAGGTGCAGTTAAAGTATATTGTGTATTTCTAAAAATACAATTATGGAGAGGATTTTAAATGGCCACCAGATGTCCTCATTTTTATACAAACATTTGGAGTACTTGTACTACAGGCAGGATCTACACTTTAATAGATAAATACCTGTGGTAGCAGACCAAAATCTTCAGGTGGGATGGCAGATTGCTTTTTATGATAAATTTTCAATGGTGATTGCAATAGGGATAGCTATTTTATTCTGAGATGCTCTCCCACTGAACTTTCAGAGCCCTCCTTGCTCCTGGCACACAAAAGACTCCCCTGCTTTGGCGAGAGTCGTGACAGGGACAAGTCCCTGATGCTCTCCAGAGCCCAAGCCCTGGCCACAGATGTGCTCGGTGAATTTCTGGAGTGTCAGGGCTTTGCCAGGCCCTTGGGAAACCCAGCATGTGCTGGCAGATCTACTGCAGGGCTGGATGATCCAAACTCAACAGACCGACAGAGCTACCGAGAGATTTGATTTTTTTAACATAAAATGCAAAAAGCTTTTAGTGACTACATCTGAGGGAAGACGATAATTAATGCAAGAACTTTTAATCTGGAACAGTGCATCTATTCTACAGACAAACAGTGCGATCAATAGCGTTTGAACTCCTATATGGGGAAATCTCCTTTACAGCAAGGTTCAATGAGAATTCCCGAGTGCTTTAAAACTATGCCAATACTTGTTCAGGCTGGGATGAAATTAGAAAGTTACTGCCTGACTTCTAGGATGATGAACACAGGGGAAACTAATAATCCCTACTAACCTGATTGGTCTTGATCAAGTCCTTTGAAACCTGGTCTCAACCCAGCCAGCTAACCAGGGACCTGGTAACTACTCTCCCAACATCAGATTTAGGACTCTATTCTCACTGTAATGTACCATTTCACTTTTCATCCTTAATTCCAGCTATGTAGTAGAGAATTTAAGAAGCAAAAGATCACGGATGAAGGGAAAACAAGGGGTGTTGTGTCCTTCGTACTCCACTGCAGCTCTCACCCCAAGGTAAGGGGAGCCATAGCAATGATAACCATCCTGAAAAGGATTATTGATGACACGCCATGAAGGCAGGATATTTCATTTAATTTAACTTAAATTTCTTGTTTTATATTATTCCAAACTTCCGCAATTTTTCACTTATACCAGGACAAGTGGCAAGGTGGAGAGTGCTCAGGTTGGGATGGCACAGGATGGGAAAGAGAAGTAGCTCTGGATAACATGTAAGGTTTTTGACTGTTTCCAATTTCCTGAACAGAAAAGTGAACAATATTCGATGGGTAAATTTCAGCTTCAGTTATTACTTTGATGTCTAAATTGAAAGTAACAATTGCCACACAAGTAGAACAGTCAAGCCTGAAACGTGCAAAGATTACAAAGACAAAAGGAGGCATAATTCTGTGTTTTATTACTACTTAACTGCCTATCCCTGTGCATTAACAGCTAAAACTAAGGTTGATATTTGATACTGTAAGGGGGGCTCTGAACAGAGTTTCTTTAAAGTATCACAGTGAGGGAAAATGCACAAATCTATTTAAACAGGACATTTACTCATAGCTCCCGGTAACATGAAAAATACTTAATGTCAATGATGTCTCCAAAGCAATGTGTGTGCAACAGTAGGCCTACCCAGCTGGGGTATGAACCTTGTGCAGTGGGTTCCTTAACATGGATCCTTTTGTACACCCTAATTCTTGGATTTAAATTCATCTGTAACTTCCCTGTTACTGCGTGTGTGAGACTGCACGTGTGAAAGCAGTGGCTCTCGCTGGGCAGGAACAGGAAACAGTCGATTCGCGCTGCAGGGGATCTGCAAATTGATATCAGAGCAGGGTTTTACAGCTTTTTAAGCTGACTGCCATGGGACAGCAGTCAGGTCTAACTTTGGGCCAAAGCATGGATTTGAAGGAAGAAGACAGAAAGGGGAAATGGTATTTACTGCTGTCACCAAAACTTTGATACATTTCAGTGTGAAAATGCAGGCTGAGTAAAATTAAGTTAGGCTACAAAACAACAGTAATCAAAATCCAACAAAGCAATCAATATCTTAGCAACCTTAGGCTTTCCGCATTCACCTTTTTAATGTGCTGCCTTGAAGTGCTGACATGATGTTAGACCGTCTCACCTCAAAGAGCACTGCGTACCCAACCATCATGGCCAGCTGGGCTCACATTTATGCCTTGCTTTGATGCTTCTCGCATTCCCACAACTCCACCAGGCTATAGCTGATGGTGAGTATCTCCAGTATCTCACCTGCTCCAAGTCAGCAGAAAAATTGAAGTTCCTCATGTGGAATATGAAGAGCTCAGCCCTACCTTGCTGCAGATAAAGCAAACTTTACACACACACCTCAAGCCAAGACAGAGGCCTTTGACCACTATCCTCATTCAACAGCAGTAGTATGTGTTCAGCATGAGCTGCTTTTGGGTGGGGGGACAGCAGCTTGGTCCCACCACAGGTACCTTCAGTCACCTCTGCTGCTCCAGGCAGTGTCAGCACAACACAAACCAAGGCTGGCCTTCAAGGAGACTGTGCACAGCTGGACATGTCTCTCCCCAGGGGAGGCAGAAAGGTCTGAGGAAGCAGAGTCCCACCCAAATGAAAAGTCTGTAGCACTCTAAACACAAAACTAAACAGAATACTACAGCTAGTAAACACAAATACTCAACACTTCACCTCAAGAAAAAGACCACTTGCCTTTTGGCATAAAAGCTAAAAAGAAGAAAATAAACAACAAAGCCTTGATGATCTACGAAAGATAGATTGGCTATTGCAAAGACACACACTAAGAGCAGAAATACTCTTCCATAGAGAAGGATTATTAATTTATAAGCATTCACTTCACTGACATTTCAATATATCTCCATTAAGTCTCATCTCATTAACTGCATGCATCTTTAAAAACAAACTCCTACCTTCAGAATATTTCATATGCAATGAATACATACAAGTATTATCTAAAACTGTGAGGATGTAAAGACTGTAACATAAAAATATAAATATGTAGCTGATATCTAGGTAAAAATTACCCCGACTTTCAGACACAATGTACAAACAACTCATTTACATGTTACTGCTTAAACAAAAACTGTAACACCCAACTTGGGACTGCTGAGCTACCACAAATGAGTTTTCCCATGTTTCACCACCAAATATCCACCCCACAGACCTGCAGGTGCTGTTGACAGAGTCCTCAGGACAGTGGTGGTGGCACTGACAGGACAGCTTCTTCTGCGGGGGGGCAGGCGCTGTGCTCTCGCCGTCTTCTTTCCTGGTCTCCATGCTCAACTTGCCAGAACTTCGCAAGGGCATGTTGGCTAGAAAATCGGCTGTAAACATAAGGGGTGGAAAAAAAAGAAACAGTTCTAGGCTGGATTGCAAGACTTGGGATGGAAGCTTTATAGTATTTCTCCCCATCAGAATTTGAGAAAGTTATCTGAGCAGGGTGTTCGATACAGAGTATTTTCTGTGGAAGCCTCTGAAAGGGTCACCACGTTTGAGGCTTACTGGGCCTCAGTGGCATTAAATCACAGGTGCTGATGTTCAAGTTGTGCTGCTGCCACAGAGATAAGTTGTGCTTTTCAGACTGCAGATCACAGCTTTTCTCTTATTGCATTACGCAGGTCAAATCCTTAGTTACACCGCTGAGCTTTCTTTGTCTCTATACTTGGCACACGCCTACATCAACTGAACCCCGTAAAAATGAGTGGGATTTATGTACTCCAGGCAGAGCAGAACAGGGGCATGCAATTTAACAAAGATTTAACAGCAAGTGATGTTCTTTCAAGTTCAACAGCACTTTGTCACTGAATTGCATAAGGACTACTTGGAAAACAATGAAAAATAGTTCATTTCTATTAAAAAACAAAATCTATAAACAAAGTAAAAGGCAAGAATGTGGTTTAGAATGAACAATGTCAAAATATATGGAGGTGGTTACTTCTAAAAATATCTGAGTACTGAATCTCCACGGTGCTGTGGAGTACAGCTAAAGATGCTGGTGATGGGCTAGGAGCTCTTTGAGCGACCCCTCCTCCCCCCAGCTCTGCTCATAAATATCAGCTTTCAGTGCTTGTGAATATTTTAAGCCTCAAAGACAAAAATGAGATCAGCATGAAAAGCTTCAACTGGCAGTTTCTCACTTTCCTCTTTTTTCTCTGTAAGAAATCTTACTAAAGGGTCATTTATGAACAGCTGTCTCCAACAGAGCGGTTGAAGAGCAGGCTTGAAAGTCTTAACGTTAAGTTCTTAGAAACAATTGGCATTATTATTATTATTAATATTATGTTGATTGCTCCTGAATTGTTGCTTTGACTCTTATTAAAATCTTTCCCAAACCTCCATCACCAGGACTACTACACTGTGGAGCTGATGGAAAACTGTCCCCAGCAAACTGGGGAAAATGCTGAAACTCATTAGCTTTCAGAAAACTGGGGCTTTATATATAAGAATGGCTCACTTAGAGAAGTGAGCTTCTTTAATAAGAGCTTTTTTAAAGCCCTTTCACATTCCTTGCATAAAAGGCATAATAATAATATTAAGGTGATACATATGAAATACTATCATTGACCATATTGAGCTATAAGACCTATGAAACACACAACTCATGGGCCTTTGATCTTTGCCCAGTACCGATGTATCCCACCAACACTGACTGGAGTTTTGATGAGCTCACCTCTTTGGAAAGTCAAATCACAAAACATATACAAAGTATGGGCTTGCAACCCTTGTGCTCAGTACCAAAATATTAACCAAATTCAAGACACAACTGGATGTTGAAGTCCCATACCATTTTTACTAACATTTGGCAAAATTAGAACTGGATGGATTTGTTCACTCAAGATGCATTGGCTATCTGTGTACTCATTGCTATAGCTTAAGATGCAGTAGGTGCTTAAATTAAGGGAAAAAAATGCCCCGTTGTTTCCTTCTCATAATATGATAGTTTAAAATGCAGCCCGTGTACAACAAATTAGTATCAACAGATGTTTGCTCCCTGGGTCACAGGATTAGAGATTAAGTAAACTCTCTTTCAATCAGCATTTTTTGTCTGTATTACTTTGTTACCATTCAATGGGCAGTATTCAACTCTTAATATTCCCATCAAGGATTTTCAGACTCCAAGCTCATGAGGCAATCAAGTGAAATACTTTGTGCTGGTGTATCATTTCCATGGCTCTTTCTACAAGCAGAAATCTCTCCTCAGCAAGGAGTGTAAAACCAAAAGCATTTACACCTAGCATAAAAAAAAGATTTAATTGCATATTTGAAAGTGCCTGAAGATGTCTTAGTTAAAATAAAACAGGTGGGAGCTGCTGAATTAGAATCTGAAATCTGAAGTACTGTCAAAGTGTCACAGGTGGCTATTTAGGGAGGTAGTTTGGTCTTTAGAAAACTTAAGACAAAATAGGCTGGCATTCAAATTTACACTTTCCAAGAGTTTGAAGTAGGGATGCAGCCAAGGATTTTGCTTTCAGCTCATGCCCAGGGCCAAAATTAGTGGAAAATCATTGCAGTGTAGTGTCGGATACAGCAAATCCAGGCCCTTTCCTATCTTCTAAAAAGAAAAACTCTTCTGAATCCATTCTCTTGTTCTAATTTTAAGGCCTTAAACTCTGAAAAAATGGGCAGATCTTTTGCCTCTGAAATGCAGACACCTGCACACCTAGCAGACGACAGCAGAACACTTACTAACTCTTCTTCCCCTCAGAGTTCAGTTTCCGAAGGCCTTTTGACTTCTCCCTCTGTTTGACTTCACAATAGAAAGGTTTTCAGCAGTTCCTTCCCTGAAATGTAGTGTATAGGAAGAAGCCCACAAGAGCTTTCCAGTGTCTGGCAACAAGTTCTTCCCAATTTCAGGTGTGAAAAGCACAGTTTGGAATGGGGAACGGCCTGCTCCTCTTGCATTTGCTGCTGTGCTGTAATAAGCACGTGTTGGTCACACAGCCCTGGCTCTGTCAGGGATTAAAAGCCCTTGGGGTTTTGAAAGCTTTCCTAAGGAGCTAAGTCCAAGTGCCCTGAAAGCAAGGGATTTCAGACAATTTAAATTTGGCTGCTTCTCTGCTGTGACCTGTTCAGTTGCAGTCTGCTTGTGGCCAGCCTCCCATCCCTGATGAACTGTGCACAGCTCGGGACAACTGCAGAAAAGCAGTGGTTATCAGAAATAAGGTTATTGTAGTCTGCTGAGAAACTTGCTGACTGCATCAGGGAATTAATCAAAACAGTTGAGAGCCTGAAGGTCACCATCAGACTGGTATACCTTAATCAAATTTAGTTGATTTTCTCATCTTATTGCTCTTTTTCCACTAAAATTGATCAGCATGTACAAAGCATCTTCCACCACAAGGACAGGCAGGTGACTTCCAAGGCATTTGTGTGGATCTGGAGTACTGCTCCTGAAAAATGTTTTCCCCTACAGGACTGGGACCACTCAAAATTGTGATGTGATGGCCTCTGTTACGAATGTCTACCTGAGAAAGGGGACTGTGTGCTTAGAAGTGTGCTACTACTGTTATTTTTTTTCCCCAAGTATGTTACTGTCTCTCTACATGCTCTGCTTCACCTGAGCTCCTTCTTCGTATCCCAAGGCAGACTTTACAGAAAGGCACAACTACAAAGATCCTGGAGCCAGCAGAAGGAACATGAGTAACATATAAACTGCTGTAAAATAAAAGCATTATCCTGGATGACCATGGGAATGACTAATGTCTAGTCTAAACCCCTACTAACCTCCATGCCAACAAATAAACCTTCTTAGATATATTTCATTTTCTTCCCATCCCTCCTAGACTTCATGGTAGTCTATGAGTATTAAGCCTTTAGATCTAAATACTAACACTTCTCATGTGCCAAATCCTTTCAAGGAATTTCAGTTTGTTTTGCTATCATTTTTTAAATGATAGAGAAGTGCTCACAGATCCCCATTCTAAAATTACAATGAAGTAACCGCTAGGATGAGTTATATCTCAGTTTTAAATAATGCTGTTTAGTGTTGATTTGATGGGTCTGTAGACAGTGGTACCTTGCACACAAAGGGAAAATCCCCTATTTAATCTTTACATTGACTCAGGTGCAAAACAAAAAACGTTGGATCTAGAGGACCCATGTCTCTTAACGTACATTTAGTCCTCAAGCTCTCTGCTGTGGCTGCCAATAAGTACTCCAGCCCCTGCCAACTGTAGCCATAGTTATGCGATTTGGACAGGAATTTCTCCACTAGAATCTGGATAAAGCCCAATAGCTCATTTCACACCGGCCCGCAGCCATCAGATGGTAATGACTTTTGGGCACTACTCTGATTCAACAAGTCCGGTAATGTAGGAGGCGAAAAGCTCTGTATTCTGTTACTCTGTATTCTCTAGTCCAAATCTTAAGCCATCCTGTTCCCAGAGGATGAATAATTAGCAAAAGTTGTCTAAACAGACTGATTTCTGTGCCACAGACATGTGATTTACATGTGATTTTACATACTGTGAAAAAGCACATCTTCCACGACCTTGCATGGGTTTGTCAAAAGTCGGACTTGCTCCTTCCCAAAACAGATGCTAAGGGCCACAAACATATAAAAAAAAATATACAAGCGCTGTGCTCACTCTTCTTTCTACATAGTGTATTTGAAGCCTTAAACCAATGCAGCCCCATACATTCACATTTTCCTAGGTCAGTAAGAACAGTGTTTGGCTGGCAACAGCACCCACTTACAGGGAGCGATGTTTACTGTTTCAGAGGAGGTACACTGAGGAAGCTTTGCATATGACTTGAGAGGACTGCTTTGGATGGGAAATTAAGTATACTCACACAAAGTATCTGAATAATAAAGAAAACCCCACCTAAACCTCAAAATCTAATTTAGATCAGAAGGTAGTAAGAAAATCAGTCAACTTGCTGAAACTGTTGGATGGAAATTTTAAACCACAAGGTTACTTCTATGCGCTGCTCTAGCCTATAGTTAGTGTGCTTCTCCTCAAATTACACTTTTATTAAAATACAAGACAATCATACAACACCCTGCTAGAGTTTCCTATGCTACATCATAAACTACAGCCTGATGACTTCCCACCAGGCCAGGGTTATACCATTGACATGATTGTTTTAGTAGAAAGGGAAATAACTAACTGTTAACTCACTGTACTTTACAGTCATCAGATAAAAGAATTTCCATGGGATATTTTCTGGCAAATAGTCAGCAATGAAAACACGCCACAGTTAAAGAAGCTGAAAGAAATTAGACCTCTTAACTCAGCCTGACCTACGGTGTAAAATAGTCAAGAGGTAACAGTAACATACTTCTCATTGGTGATAATCATGTAACAGAGAAGGAAAAA